TCAATACCGTGATGGTCCTCAAGTGGAGACATACATGTTTATGGACACGGGTAGTAGCTCGACATTCTGTACGTATGACCTCCTCCGCAAGCTGAATGTTAATGCCAGCTGCCGGACATTGGTCACGTGACCACATTTTCCGTGTGACCTTGAGTTGGCACCAGATTTTGTCGACAGACGTGGCGCAGCTTATTTTACTGCATTATTTTAGATACTAAATATTTAGGCGTGTGGTGGTAAATGATACCGTGCAAATAATATTGAATCATCGGTGATATAGTTACCATTGATACTTGAATAGCATCAATAAAATGCAATTAATCTATTATTACTCTTCCATTGATTTTATTGTGTTTGCAGGCATAGGTAGAAACTGAAAAGCTGAGCCTGCAGCTAACAGTTGTTCTATACAGTAGCGGCGGAACACCTTCAATTACGGAAAAGTGCCACCTTCGTGAAATATGAAGATATCGTTGCTTTTCATTTTGACATTATTATTTTTCATGTTCTTTTTAAATCTGGTGCCAGAAGTGCATAATTCGCAAAAAAGTAAGTCAAACTATTTAACATATTGGTACTATGTTTGTACTCTCTACCGCACCTTCTGTATGATGTCATAGCGATGACATCACACTCAAGCCAATCAGCTTTCAGAAGGCAGTCTCGTCGGCTTGTGTCAGATTAGCTGATTGGTTAAAGCTGAGCTGATTGGAGCTGATTGGTTAAAAACCAAAGCCTCGCCGCGGGTGGCTGTATTACAGGATAAGAACGCATTCCTGGGATAAGGACGCATTCCTGGCATATTTTCTTTTAAAATTGCCGATACCTACAAATGGAGGCCGAAATCGGCCGTAAGGTGGGACACTCTCGGGGTTTTCGGACACGGGCTACAAGATGGCCATCTCAGTTTCAAACCCCATGTTAAAGGTGACCCTTTTCCTTTAAGGGAGGGGGGGGGGGGCACTGCCGACTTTCGGTCCGATTCTTTCCATGCAACGCCCATAGGGCTAATGTTAAAATGCCAAAATTATAGGGGGCACGGTGCCCCGGTGCCCTCCCCGTTCCGCCGCCTATGGTTCTATAACTCTTAATGCATAAATCAATGCTACTGAGGGCTGCAAATTTGTTTTTTACCTATCTTTAATAACTGATGCCCTACCTTCATCTACCATTATCTGTAAGAATCTTGCATCAATCATCACCAGACTTCTTAGTTTTTTTTTTTTACATACCTACGCCCCAGCCGCGAGAGTGGGCGGGTACGACTCCCTCGCCTTAATTGAGCTAGCCTCGCGGAAAAAACGAGCATGTGTGCCGTTACGGGACCGGGGACGCAGCGATTGATGCACGGTTTAAAAGTCTCAGGTCAACTGATGGCCTCTGAGGGTCAGGCCAAATGCCCCGAGGGCCAAAATACGATTTCGGGTTTTGAAAAATAACTTTGTCAAAAAAACGGCGCAGAGTCGCGATTTTAGTACCATCATGTTTGTCATGCTCCGGTGCGTCAAAATGGTACACTTTTGTTTGGGTGGGGTCAACATAAGGTGTTCACATCGGATCAAAGCCAGGTCAGAGGCACTCAGGTCACGAACTTGGTCGGAGGAGGTTATATCGCATATCATTCGATTCGGTAGGTCTTCCCGAGTCTATTGGCGACTTTTCCGACTTGCCAGCTCAATTTTATCAGGAGTTATTGACGAAAAAACTTGTGACATTTGTGACGTCATGAATGACGTCACGCAAGGTTAAAGATGCAAAAGTGAAGCATTGGACATTGCAAGAATTGCATGAAATTGCGATTTCAAGTGCTTGAGCTAGGTTTAGATCATTCTCGGCGTCAAAATAACAGTTTCCATATTTTCCCCATTGACTTGTAATGTTGACGTCGCGCGATCGGCCTGACCTCATGTGACCTCTAGCAGAAATCCGAGATATACAAGTTTTGAGACTCCTAGAGGATACTAGGTCCTGTAAGTATCATCTCGCTGTGACAGCTCCTCTGGCACCGAGGGCATTGCGAAGTTTCGGTATTTTGGGACTATTGCAGAGGTTCACGTGTGACGTCATAAGTCAGTGACCTGACCTGAGACGGAAATGCAATTGGTTTCCAAAGATGCGTATGGAAGCAAAGATAAGGTGTGCCAAATAGCAGCCCTCTAGCTGTAAGGTGTTTTGAGCTATCGCCAAAAGTCGTGAGTGGAGCGCTACTGACTCCTCCGGTCGGCCGCCGGGGGTAAGGAGGCGTGCAGGGTATCGGAAAACCACCTGGTACTTTGCGAATTTTGCCGATAAAAATACGTTTCTTATGCCAACTTGTAGCCAAAAGACTACTGAATCTCAAACCAGTCGTATCCTTGCACTAAATGGCTTGGTTTAGACACGATAGGTCTGAAAAGAAAAGGTCCCATGTATTCTCTATGGGCGCCGCGAGGCCGTTGGCACCAGAGTTTCGGGAAGTGCCCTCGCCACAACCGCACGTGCAGATTTGGTCACGTGACCAAGCGCATTTGCCGCCACTGTATTTATATACACTGTGGTTAATGCCACGAACAAGACTAAGTTGTCTGTCTCCACCATGTCTAAGGACCCGCTCAAGGCCCTATATACCAGGTAGGTTCATTAGGGAATTTTTTACGTTCCCCCTACCGGCCCCGGATGACGTCACTGGGGTGCTCCCGCCGCGGCCGGCCTATGTATAGAGCATTACTACGAACTTTCCGGTGGCATTTTTTCGTGTTATAACGCCCAAAAAGCTATCGCGAGCACTTTTCGCACTAGAAATTGAAAATATGTCGCATTTTAAAGTGAGTAATAGTGATATAAGGTCACGTCCAGGAAAAGCGGGCCGAAACCAGCGAGGCTTGTATGGGTCCCAGGGCGCAGGGTTATGGAGTCGGGACCGGACTTTGATCGGAGTCGAACTGGAGCCGGAATCGGAGTCGGAGTCGTTTTTGGAAGCCGGAGCCGGAGTCAGAGTCGAAGTCACCAAAAATTCATCGGTTCCGCAGACTGCGGAGCTCAGGGCTGCCCGGAGTCTGAGTCGGAATCGGTCAGAATAGACAGTTCTGCCCGGAGTAGGAGTCGCAGGGCTGCGGAGTCGATGGATTTTCGGTGACTCCGACTCCGACTCCGGCTTTCAAAAACCAGCTGCGACTCCGACTCCGACTCCGGGCAGAATTGTCGACTCCGACCGACTCCAACTCCCGACTCCGACTCCGCAGACCTAGCAGGGCTGCGGAATCGACAGATTTTCGGTGACTCCGACTCCGACTCCGGCTCGGGTTTCTAAAATCGACTCCGACTCCGACTCCGGTCACAACTGTCGACTCCGACCGACTCCGACTCCGACTCCGACTCCGCAGCCCTGAGGAGTCGGAATTAGTTTTTGGAATTAGAAGTCAGGAGTCAGTAGTCACCGAAATTACATCGGCTCCGCCGCGCTGCCCTGCTAGCCCTCGCACGACCAGGCCATTTCTCATAACACGAACGACCAGGGGGGGGGGGGTTGTTACGACCCCCCCCCTGGCGTTTCGAAACGGAAGGTCGTAGAGCTTAGCGGAAAAAACCAACGGATTGCTCTCAACGAGATCTCGCGATTGGTGGTATATTTTTTGGTCCTAGGTCAACATTTGACCTACTTTTGACCGGTCAAAGGTCAAATTTTCGGAAAAATAGACTTTTTTCAACTTTCGGCGGCGATTGCGGCAAAACGGTGGGAGATATCGACTTGAAACCTTCACTATCGTGTTCCTTGATCAATTCTCTATCGTTTGGTATGTATTTCGTTTCCCTAGCTCTAAAAATGGCGCGTTGGGAGCGCCGGAAGTCGGCAAGGTCACAGTCGGCGGCAGAAATTCGAAAAATCAAAAGTTAAATTTTTGAAATCTGATTGTATTTTTGGATTTGGGAGGTCCATTTGCTCCCTCTAGAAGCTAATATTGCTGCATATTCCCATTGAGGTGACAAGAATAAGCAAAATAGTGGTTCGGGCGCTTTTCAAAAATAGTACCGGACGCTGTTCCTCTTGTGACGTCATAGCTCCGTGACCTGACCTGACCCGGTCAAATTTCTTATACCATATGATAGCCAATACTTGCCCCAACATGCATGGGAAGTTTCATCACAATCCATCAACCGATGTCCGTACCACCGGCAGGAAACCTCGGGCGTTGGCACTCAGTTTGTGAAAATTCGGCCGGAGGCTGTACCTCTTGTGACGTCATAACTCCGTGACCTGACATGACCCGATTAATTTTTTTTGGCAAAAGATGCGCAAAGGTTGCCCCAGAGGGTAGTGAAAATTTCAGCCCGCTACGACAAGCCGTTTAGCGTGCACTTCGAAAAAACCTCAGGGGGGGGGGGGGGTTGATACAACCCCCCCCCCCCCCCCCCTAGGCGTTCTAGGGCTAGGGCGCTCAGGACGGATGCACTTAAGTTGCATTGCTGAGAAAAATCGAATAAACATTTTCACTAAATATTATAAGTTTCACTTACGGGTGGCCGTTACTCACAGCTGGTGGTACAATATCGAGACGCACAGCCGTTACCCAATGCCGAGTCGCACAGTGAGTCGCACAGCCGTTACACACAGCCGGAGGCACCACGCCGAGTTGCACAGCACCAACAGATCTGGCCGTGCCACACCGAGTCGCACAGCCGTTACACACAGCCGGAGGCACCACGCCGAGTTGCACAGCACCAACAGATCTGGCCGTACCACACCGAGTCGAACAGCCGTTACACACAGCCGGAGGCACCAATTGCCGAGTCGCACAGCACCCACACAGAGCCGGCCGTACCACACCGAGTCGCACAGCCGGTACACACAGCCGGAGGCACCATGCCGAGTCACACAGCACCAACAGATCTGGCCGTGCCACACCGAGTCGCACAGCCGTTACACACAGCCGGAGGCACCATGCCGAGTCGCACAGCACCCACACAGAGCCGGCCGCACCACACCGAGTCACACAGCACCACGCCGACTCGTAGTCGCTACACGAGCCGGTTTACCAGCTCACCTAGAGCTCCTTGCATGATGGCCAACTTTTCTATCGGCTCTTTTCAGCTGCCGGACCTCGTCCAGTCAGGCTAAGGGACCGAAGGGGGAGGTGGAGACGGGTGCTCGCCAACTTCCTGGACACGCGGGTGCCGAGCTGAGGCTGCTTGACGGCGATGAACAGCTTGAGACGCTATATGACTCGCGGCCCCTGATCTGCAGTTGCCCCCATCAGCAGGCAGAAGTTCCGCTCGAACTCCTCCACAGCGGCCATCCAGGCTTGTGACAGAACAAACAGCTGGCCTCGGCTTATCGTCACAATTCAGCTGTTCGGCAGGGTGTTCAGTGTCTCCAGCGGCGCCCGAGAAGTCAGGAGACCGGCTACCGAGGGTGGCGTCGACGTGGTGACACTTGTATGCCACGAAGCCGGCAACAAATGCCAGCCCCTCGCGCTGAGCTTCCAGGTTGGAACTCGTCAGCTCGGCGCCGGCCATGGCTGCCAGCGTCGACACCGGCAGCGGCACTGTGAAAGCAGTATTACGCTACATCACTTGAAAGACATTGACAATTAAATATTGTGCAACAAAAGAAAAAACGTTAACACTTAAATGAGCCTAGTCTACGCACTGAAAGTGACAGATTTCGCGGACAACGAAAAATGCATGCCCTTTGGCTTTGCATTAATTCATTTTCCCGTTACTATTAAGCCTCGTTTGGCGACTGCCCCACGAATTCGCTCGTGATTAGCATGGCACTTTTTCAGAAGGAAAAAAACACAGCGTATAAAATTGTTGAAACATCAACCAAGACTGAAACAACTCAGTTTTTTCTAAGCACTAGTTAGGACCAGCATAGGTCATTATCAGAACATTTAGTGGATGTGACTTGAGACATCACCTTAATGGATTGAGTGGCGGCCTTATGCCGACAAAAAGTTACCATTACTCATGGCAAAAAGAATGTTTTGATGCATTTTACCAATGGGAATTAAAATGGTGTCGCTCAAGACGGGCCAGGATTTTTAACACTGATGGATATTTGTGAGCACTTTTAATGTGAGTGAAAACATAAACCATTAGACTTACTTGTCAGAGGTCCCTGCTGGCTGGTCTAGAGGTTGCTCGCAGGTTGCCCCCAGAATCTCCTTGACCTCCTTTGCAGTGGTCCTCCTCAGGGACCTACTCGCCCTCGCCTCAGCTTTCCTGTAAACAGAAAACTCTCAGCACAAACAAATTTGGCTAACATCATGCTGACAGTACAAGCAACTAGCACCTACCCATGAAATAACTTTAGTGACCAATTTGAAAATAAACAATAATACCATGCAAAAACATTTGTTTTCATTTTTACAGCTCTGATAACATTGCAACGAGACTGAGATGAACCCAGCCCGCAGTATGTGACCATACTATACGAGTATACAATTTAAATTTTAATGATAAAAAGTAAAGAGCTCATTCATATTTCAATTTGCCATTGTAGCACTAGTTTGTTTACATTGCGTGCTTTCTCTAAACATTTTATTTGTTGAGTGTATCATGTTAGGTCAAGGTACTTATGCGCACTGCGAGCACTGAAAAATTATTACCTACCAGCTTAATTGCAAAAATGGAACCTTTAAAAACGCCAGATTATGTTAAGATCCGTTGCAAAATTAATACCTTGGTTGAGCTTTCTCAGCATGTTCCCACCTTGAAATACTTGGTTGTTCTTCATGATATATGAGACGAAACGTAATACAAAGTGTGGTTGCCACTTATGTTAAGCTTTTGCGACCTTCAAACACATGAAAATGTGTTTATATTATTATACAAACATATTAAAACTTTGCATAGCAACCAAAGTAATAACACGCAACGGTCGGAAAACACTGCGCCGGTGCGCCAGAATTGACTACATTACTCGAATCTCAGCGACCAATCAGCTTTCGAGCATCCCAGTGACGTCACATTGGCAGCATTTGGTAGCAATTTCCTTGTACGTGTGTCCCTATGGCGATGAACCCCCCCTGGACCCGCTAGTTGTATGGGCTTCAGCCAGGGGCGTCGCCACGGATTTTTGAGTGGGGGCATAAGTGTAACTTTATATCTCTTTGTGGGTGCTCAAGCACCCCCAATCCTGAGCTCAGCACCCCCTGCCTCCTTAAAGCACCCGTCCCACAGCCTCCTCAAAACATTCCCAGCTGACTCAAGGCCCTCGATAATCAGTATTTCTATCTCCTAGTACTTGTAATGAGCTCAGTGAATCATGCAAATACTATGCTTACTCAATTCAGTGACTAAGAGAAATGAGAATATACATTGAATAAATTACCACAACCCCCCCAACAAACAAACAAACCCCCCGTTACAACAAACCCCGAGGGTGGGAAGGTTGCATCCCCCCCCCTGTGCCGGCGAGGGTTAAGGCCAAACATCGATACCTACCAGGTAAGCGCAGTCGGTACGGTGGTGAAGGAGTGCGTACAAGAACATGACATCGGTATGAATGAGGCGGGCTTTGATGGACAGTTTTAACCCGCGCCGGGCCGGGGGGGGGATGCAACCTTCCCACCCTCGGGGTTTGTTGTAACGGGGGGTTTGTTTGTTTGTTGGGGGGTTGTGGTAATTTATTCAATGTATATTCTCATTTCTCTATTCTCATTTCTCTCTCAATGTGTTTGAACACCCCCCCCCCGCGGTTTTTCGCAGATATCTCAAAAACGGCGGCGCTCCGCGCCGCCGTTTTTGAGTTAGCACACCTGTTATGAAAATTTTAGACCCAGGTCGCCTTAGGTCAGGTCACCAGGTCACGCCAAGTGACCTCACCTCAGAAAAAAAGAATGCTCGTCATAGCTACACCGATTGATCGATTGCCTTGAAACTTTCAGCAATTGATAAGAGCAACATTATCTATAAAATGTTTATCTCAGAATTTTGATATCGGTGACCTAAGGTCAGGTCAATTTTGCGACCTCTCCATTGTAAGTCAATGGGAGAAAATTGAAAAACGTCTGATTTGCACGAACGCCATTCTAGACACTCTCAAACATCGAGATGTAGGTAAAATTGACACACTGAACCGAAAAATGGCAACTGTGACCCCTGGTTATGTCCCCGAGGTCATCTCAGGTCACGAACAGAATCTAACAGTTTTTCGCTAATAACTTCTGCTAGAGGCGTGCTAGAGCGCTGAAAACGCCTTAGGTGTGTTCGACTCGACGTTGCGGACCGACTGATATGCCACATGACCTTTTCCGGTCAGGTCATGACCTTGACCTGGGGTCAAATTTTCAAGTTCACCTTTGAAGGTCAAATTATAGTTTATTCGACGCGTCTCGACGAGAGGAACACGATGCTGGCAAAAGTAATGTCATGGCTCTTTTGAGTCAAAAGTTATTGCCGAAAAAACATTTTTCGTAAAAACGGTTATTTTTGGAGTTTTTGCCCTCTGGAGGCTAAACCGTTGACTTGAGGTCAAATCCAAGGCTATAGAACTCCAGGTAAGGACACCAGCCGTTTGACCTTGAACGCCGCCGGCCGGCCGATGACGTCATTGGAGGCAAGCCGGCTCGGCGGACACACAAGGCGAATGCAGAACGGAGGGGCGTTGGAACGTTGCGGGAACCGGGGAGGTATTTTAATGTGGTTGCATACCACCATTGTTATGTTGATTGGTCTACAGACTCCATTCTTTTATACCTCGATGCATCCTAGGACTGGATGGTGCGTACATTCGTGGAACGATCACCATTCACCCCGTCCGACGTCCGTGGTCGAAGCTGTCGCCTGTCATAGTATTTAAGACACTAAGACGGGTGCAAGAACGGCGATCCGATCCCGTCTCTGGCGAATCTAGAGGGGTCGTAAGGACCCAGGCCGAATCTGACCATCTATTTTTAGGGAAACAGGGTGGGTGAATTAATAACCGATGGCTTGAGAGATGATGAGAAGGGATCCCGTCGTCGATTGTTGTTTGACAGACAACACATGTTGTACTGTGCGTATGACCATCAGAGGTAATGCCTGAACGTAGGCAATCATAATTGGTCTGTCATACTGTTTATAGGAATATAAAATGGTAATGGAGATCATTGAGGATATGATCTCTACATTACGGGAATTCACTAATTACTAGGGCCCATAGGGGCACCGCCGGGGCTGTTGTTTTACCATCGGTCCCAGGCAACTCCAGGGAGCTGCAGTACCCGGCGGCCAAAGCGGCCACCTCGTCGACTCGCAGGCCCTGTGGGATTCTGTGATGCTTTAGTGCTTCACCCACAGAAGCATGGGCATAGCAGTAGGATGTGGGGCTAGGTGTCTGTCCACCTTTTCAGTGAAAGAACACCGTATACAGCGCCTGGTCCCGCCGAAGCTCGGTATCGACCGTGACTTATTCACAACTGGCGGATTCAGGAAGCGGTCTTGGACACTGCGGGGGCTTACCCCAAAAAGGTTTCTCGGAATTAATTTAAAAAACTCGGATTTCGATTCCTTGCGCACTGCTGTGCTGTGTAATTAACCAACATTTCCTCAAAAAAGTTGTGAAGTTTTCTTTTATTCTCGAAAAGCGATTTCGGGCGCTGCCCTGGTTGTGGGGGAAGACATTTGCCCTAAAATTCCCCTGGATCCGCCAGTGGGTTGCCCCACTCCGAGCTTGACTAAGAACTTCTTCAAACCCCACCAGAAACCGATGGTAAGATGAATTTAAATCCAGTAACTCATCTCTGTCTGCCCGCCTAAATATACTACACATGGCACGGCACCCGGCCCTGTCGGAGCTATGAGCCGATCGTGATATTTTCGGCTTTCCCCATCCCAAGCTCGATTAGAAACGTTCTCCTTCCCCACCCGATTGCTGATGTCAATTCAAATTCAATACCTCATCTCTGTCTGCCCGACCGTAACCCATTCATTGCACACCGTTCAGCGCCCGGCCCCGCCAGAAGTATCCTAGCGCGCTGAGCAGTTGCCTCCAGCCGCGTCATCGCGAGGCCCCGCGCGGCCCATAAATGAATACATTGCGCGAATAGCCGTGTCGCCCCCCTGGAACTCCGTCAAATCTAAGAAAATTACTCTGAAAGGTCTGTAAAAGGGTTATCGAATGCGCTTTTCCTCAGCGCTGTAGCTCTATCGGTTCCCGAGATAGCCGTTGACAGTTTCCAAAATGTTGAAATAGTCAACATTTTACCTTTGGTGACCTCTGGTGACCTGACCTTTGACCTGACCCAAAAATGACCCGAAGTGTTTTCGTCCTTATTTTGGACGTTCTTTCGATTGTCGCTTACCGCGCGTAGCTACGTGGCCCAGGAGCCGAGTTAGAAGGGGTGGGGGGTGTTCAGACACCCCTAAGGGTTTTCGCGAATAACTCGCGTAAAAAAAGGCCGATCGGGACGAAACTTTCAGTACTCTCGCATTGATCAATTTTACACCTACCCTGAAAATTTCATGACCCTGACCCCAATAACCTTTGACCTGTGACCTCCTTTCTGAGACCATGTTTGACCGGAATCGCGATTCGGCGTATGTCGGCTCGCATTAGCCGGGCGTTTGCAAGCTTAAAATTGGGTATCATCGGCTTTTTCTCGTGACGGGCAACACGCTCGTTTTTTCCGCGAAGCTCTAGCTCGATCAGAGGCCAAACGCGAGGGGGTGTGGTCTTACCAACCCCCCCCCCCCCCCTCCCTTGTGCCATCGAAGGACGCAAAGTGGCCTGTGCCGGCGAGGGTTAAAGTTCCAGGGACAAAATGCAATATTTCACGAGATCCATGTCCGAAGAGTAACCATCGAGCCTGTCCCGTCAGGCGTCATGTTGGATAGCCCTCAATATAAGCTCATTCGTGCAGAGCTATGCAGACCAGGCTGCCTAAGCGCGGACCTACCAAAAGTCCGGTAGGGCCTGAATTTAAATTTTAAACCCAGGGTGTTCTGAAATATGTTCAAAAACTTCTATATGATTATTAATGCATTGGGTGAGCCAAAATCGTTTTACAGTGGCGCTATTAAAACAAGCTCTCGAACTGATTTGACATCATTCCTTGCATGATTCCTGATGGCTACAGTCAAAAAGAACAGCTGAAAAAAATAACTACGAAAAATATGGCATGCCTTTCTGAAAGCTATTGAGCACCCCCAATGATTTTTGGAAAACTACACCCATGAGTGGGGGGTCGGGTTTCTAGTCTTCACCCGATGGGTAGGGGTGTTTTTTGCCACACTTCCCAGTTTTGTGCGTGCGTATGTCTGTGTGTGCGTGTGTAACAAATCGGCGCGCAGCGCCGCCAAATTTGGTATAACCTATTAGGTAGGTATACCTACCTACATCACTTGCGTAAAAATTATCACTGGTCACTTAAGGTCAGGTCGCCATGTCAAGTTCAGTTATACGGTATACCTCTATAAAAACTCCCCTCTCGCCATTCTTGTAACTTTTCTTCCATAACTTCGAAATTTGGTACACTGTATAGGTACCTTATGTATGGGGTTATACGTGTCAGCAATTCATGATTCTAACTGAGGATTTACATCTATGATCTGAAGGCAGGTCAAATACGTGACCTCATCATCAGAAAATAATGAGAAATTAGAAAAAGCACGAATGCCTCCTGCTTTGAAAAAGTTCGTCAGAAACGCAAAATATCTTTGGAGCCATGACGAATCAGCTCATCATTGCCAGGGACAGGGTGCAACTTATGGCGAGTGATGGCTCGAAAGGTCATTAGTGGAAATGTCCATCGATCGGCCACCAGCATTTTTTTTTCTACAACTTTTGACGAAGACGCGGTAGAGCGATGACAGCACCTGGAAGGTGTTCACTGTTCAGCTCAACAACACGGATCCATTCATATGCAGCAGGAGGTCCTTTTTCGATCAGGACATAACGTTGACCTGAGCTCGTTTTAACGTTAATTCTGAATGGTCAAATTTTAACTCATGTGACGCGTCTCAAAGAGATCAAGACGGTGGTGACAAGACAACATATGTACATAGGGGAAGTTGGGGCAATGCCGGAGTTGGGGCAAAGCCGAAATTCGAGATATTTCGAAAACCGTAAGACATGGATGCCACCTGTCAGTGATGCTCTGAATCTTAAGTGACTACAATTATCGCATGTTTGTTACGAGTCGTCATTCGGAATACTTCGGCTGTGAGGGCGCCAAGAGCGTTTTCAATGTACGCGTTCCTTGTACTACATGCGCCTTTGAAGCTGCATTTCTTACTCATTATGCTACCGTTTGTCTGGCCCATTCGGTCAAGTAATCTTCAGCATGTCTTTGCATAAGTGTGCTGCCTATTTGAAATTTATACGGCACGTTGAAAAGTTATGGGCCTGCAAATGAAAGTATGGCTGGCTGGGGTAATGCCGAAAACGTGCAATTACGCACGTTAAAGCACGCTACGTGGACTTTACTGCTGTAGAATAGCAACGCGAATTTTTAGTCACACAAATTATACACTTTCAACCGACACAAGGGCCTGTTACCTATAAGAAATTATTTACCTGGCATTTTCTTATTATATCACACAATTATAACTTCCAGTGTGCACCAAGCGTCCTCAAGCTCTTAAAACGCGTGTCAGCTTTGATAAATTCTGGATAAAGTTTGAGATAAAGTGGCAAAACATCAATGTCGGCATTCCCCGTAGATCATTTCTCCCATTTTCGGCTTTCCCCGCAGTCCGGGGCAACGCCGAAAAAGTCACTTCTTTGATATTTTTAGTTTGTGCGCTTAACGGTATGCGAATTCATCAAACGCGCCTGGTATGTTTGAAAGGCAAAAGACTGGCCTCTCGAATGACGCCAACAAGAATAGCTTATGTTGTCTACCTTGCGTGCTACGGGCGTCAGAAAAAAAGTATTCGGCGTTCCCCCAACTTCCCCTACCTGTAACATAAACGAACATTGGCACCGTGATGTATAATTTGCGTTCAATTTTCAGTACAAATTTCATCCTGAAACATAATACAAAATTAAAAACACTGTACATATTCTCGCTTATAACAAACACTTTCGATCGAATACACGGCGTTTAGGTAGGCATACAATGGCAAACAAATCCGTTATCCGAATAAGGAAACTAGATACAAACATATATGAAACGTATAAATGGTACTTACTACGGTGCGCGTAGTCCTGGTCATAATCATGAATCATGATAAATACAAATTACCAACTATCAAGATAAAAAGAAATCAAGGATAAACATAAATAAGATATGAGATCATGACATGTTCAAATTTCAAATTAACTATGCCTGGTTAAACGATTATTCAAATAAATCGCGTCCCGAATTTTAAGCATGATACAAAAAGACCACAGTACTTCCGCCGTACATATCGCCGTTGCCTTTCTGGCGATACACTCCCCGCCCCTATCTTGAGTCAGCTTCGATGAGGAGGACGAGCCGATGGACTGACCGTTTTATGATGATATCGGGTTGGCCGGTGTATGCGTTTCCGTCCGTCTGTGCTTTGTAGCGGAGGATTACGTCTCGAACGTTCCCATCGGTGCTTGGTTCGACATCGGTAACTTCAGCTAATTTCCATTTACCCCGTAGTGGCTTGTTTTCCTGTACAAGGACAATATCTCCTGGTCGAAGGTCGCAGTTCTTGTGGTGCCATTTCTGTCGTATCAACAACGATGCAAAATAATCCCGGTACCACCTTTTCCAAAAGGACGTAACGATTCGTTGAAGAAATAAAAATCTGTCGGCCAGCCTAGAAGTCTCAGCCCACTGTCCCTGTGGTGGCGCGATTTCTGTTCGTCCTAGAAGGAGGTCATTGGGTGATAGATAGACGCCCGCCGTGGGATCAGCCCCGGGTTTTCTGCCGATCGGTCGTTCGTTTAACAGGTTGGCAATTTCGAAAAGAACTGTTTGTAATTCGCCAAAAGTGAGAATGTTTTCTGCTATGACGATGTTCAAAGTGCGTTTCACTAGACGAATTAGCGCCTCGCTACAACCATTTTGCCACGGAGCGTCTGACGATTTTGTGAAATTCCATCGTAAACCTTGCGCGGAGCCTATGCTCGACAATTCATCCAGATCCCAACGACGGATCATATCTCGGAGTTCCTTTTTAGCGGCTGCTAACTGTGACCCCGCATCGGAATAAATTGTGGCCGGGTAGCCTCGCAGCGTAACGAAGCGGCGAAAGGTTTGCAAAAAATCTTCGGTACTATATCCCTCGGCGAGGTCTATGTACGTGGCTCTGGTCGATAAACAGGTGAACAATACGCCGTAGGCTTTGGCTTTCGTTCTGCGTTTCACGGTGTCTTTGATGAAGAACGGTCCGAATAGATCCAATTCTGTGTTGTGAAATGCCGGGGAGGGCTGAAGTCTTTCGGGTATGACTGGACCCATTATTTGGCTGTGGGTCTGTTTGAGCAACTTTCTGCATGTCACGCATTGTCGTTTGATCCGTTTTATCACCCTTCTGGCACCAGGCACCCAGAATTTGGTCTGTAGACGAGCTAGAGTGGACTCGACGCCTCCATGATCCCTATTATGTAACTTTTGAACGATTAAGTCGGTTAGGGGGTGCTTGACTGGCAAAAGTATGAAACTGTGCCGATTCCAATTGTCCGTCAACCACTTCGAAATGCGATTGCCGACTACCAGGATACCTTCGCTATCAATGCTGGGACCTAGTCTTCGGAAACGATTTTGCCAGTTGATGAGCAGCTGCCTTTGAGCATGTTTTATCCATAGTTTTTCAGCCTTTGCCAGAAGTGCAGCATTCAATGGCTGCCCAATGTTCTTAAAGGATCTGTCCTCAGCACTTCTTATCACTCGAGCTGTCACTCTGAGGAGCTTGTCAAAACTGCTAAAGTTGCTGATTTTGATGTCGTTGCATATATCAGGATCGGAAAGTGGCGTGACCGTCGTCATACCAACGACTATTCGATCCGGTAATTCGTTTTCGTATGGTTTCTGGCTGATGGGCCATGTTTCTTTTGGTCCTCTCAGGAATGAGGGTCCGTTTTGCCATGTGGTCTCTACCGCCAATTCTTCCGGTTTGGACGGTCTAGTTACCATATCCGCAGGGTTGTTGCAACTACTAATCCACCACCATTGGCAGGGGCTCGTTTTTTCTTGGATTTCGGCAATCCTTGTTGCTACGAAAGTTCCAAAGCCGTAGGATTCTTTCTGTATCTGTGACCTCACAATAATAGAATCAACAACGTAAACGACTGCGTTAAATCTGTAGGTCATTTCTTTTTGGATGGTTTCACCAAGTCGACACCCAACAATAGCAGCACAAAGCTCGAGTCTTGGGATACTTAGTTGGCGGATGGGAGTTAATTTGCTCTTTGCCGATATGAGGAAGGCCTTGTGTCTTTGCGCCTCCATTTGCCAATGGACATAGGCACACGCTCCGTATGCTTGCGAACTGGCGTCTGAAAAAATAATCAACGTTGGTTCTCCGATGGCCCCTGGCGGTCTTATACATCTAGGGAAGCGGAGATCTTCGATTTTGAACATGTCATTAAAGAATGCAATCCATTCGCTTCTACATTGAGTCGGCACGGGCTCGTCCCAGCTTGTTGATCCACTTTGCGACGAATGCTTTGTCACAAGCTGTCTCATCATTAATTTGCCCCTTAGAGTGAACGGTGCGATGAGACCCAAGGGGTCGTATATCGTTGCAACTTGTCTCAACAACAATTTCCTCGTCAACAACTCAGGTATCATGTGTTCAACGTTCTGCCTAGTTAAATTCGGTCCCGTCTCTAGTTTGCCTTGCTTTGGCGAGAAATTCAATTTGATTTCAAATAAAAAGTGATCGCTGTCTGGTTCCCATGTTACTCCCAGTATCTTCTCACGTTTAGTTTTCAGTAAAGTGACGTTTGTGTTTGCTGATTTAATTTGTCCAGACATGATCCAATGCTTAACTCTAAAATTTCCGAGAGCAAGCACGTTTTGAACGTCGGAGGCCAGAGAGAGGGCATCGTCTTCGCTCGGAACTGATTGCAGTAAATCATCCACGTAGCTATTTTCTTTTATCATTTTCGCTGCCTTTGGATAGGTATCCTTGTTCATATCAGCTATACTATGCAGTGCGACCATGGCAATGGTACCGCTCGGCCGATCTCCAAATGGCACCGCTGTAAGGGCGTAATGGCCAGGTTCCTGATCGGTTTGTAAATCACGCCAAAGATAGCGATGGACATGTTGGTCTCTTATCGATAACCGTATAGAATTATACATTTTGGAGATATCGGTTGTAACTGCTACGGCAAATTCCCTAAAACGAGTCAGGATTCCAAATAGACTATTAACAAAATCGGGACCTTTAGCCCAGTAGTCGTTTAATGCATGTACCATGTATGAGGCCGATGAATTGAAGACGATGCGAACAGGTGTTGATGTAGAATTTGCCTTTAGTACCTCGTGATGGTGAATGTAATGGATTGGTCCATCGTATTGAAGTATCTCAACTTCTGATAACTTGCGAGATACCCCTCTGTTTAGCATATCCTCCATTTGATTTCGATAAGCCAGTTGTCGATTTTGATCTAATTTTCTGAGTCGAGATTCAGTCGATCGTAGCTTAGCCCTAGCTACTGCAACGTTGTTTGGAAGACATTCAGGATTTTTGATCCACGGATAATTAATGGTGAATGACTTGCTTTCGTCACTGTATACAAGACCGCCTTTTATCATTGCCAACTCCTTTTCCTCCTTTAAAGTGTAGCCGTTCATACCCATCGAGCATTTGCCACATCGGCATCCCCCGCATTTCGGACTGCAGCAGATTCCCAGGTTTTCAATCTTGAAGAAGTCTTCGAGGATGTTCTGCGTAGCTGAAACCGAATCGATTTGAATATTGTTCGTTCGTAGAAGCATTTGATTTGTACGTATTAATTCGTCTTGTTCGGTTCGCCTTCCGCTTGTCCCAGCAATTGAACCCCTTACACAATATCCGAACTGATTTTTTAGCAACTGGGTATTGCCAACCGTCTTCACAACATTTGGCATGATGGCACAACAATCAACACCGACAAGGAGATCTACCTTGCCGGTTGGTCTGGAGATATCCGCAAGTTTCATTTCGGGAAAATATGATGCAATTTGCTTGTCGTCTATGTATTGAAGATCCGCCGTTATCTCGTCTATCCCATATGCGCAGATGTCCCACGCGTTGTTTTGCAAATCTATTAGAGAAATATTGTATTTCTTGCTATTTAGAACCGTGGGATAATTTCCAACTTTGATGAGAGACAATTCAATGTCAGTTCCAATCAGATTTAGCCGATCTGCTGCTGCATGTGTTATGAGCGAGATGTCCGCTCCGGAATCCCATAAAACGGTCAGTTTGCGATCGTTACACCGAACCGAACTTATCGCTAGTAAAGTTGAATGGTCCCTTGTCTGTGTATTGTGAATGGCCATGTGCTGTTCGGGTAGATTTTTTGAAACAGTTGTTCTGTGTAATAGCGAGTGATGCCTCTTCCCGCATGCTTGGCCAGAAACAATTATCTGACACCTTGTGCGTTGCAAACAGTCCTTCGCTATATGTCCTATTTGCAGGCAATTGAAGCAGGCTCCGACTTGGCGCATGCTGACTAATTTCTCCTCGTGTGTCATTTTACAGAAGCGATGGCATGAGGCGACGGTATGGTCTCCTGTCTTGTGAATCCAACATCGGAAATTTGATCCCGTGCGATGCATTTTGTTATAGTCCGGACGATTAGCGCCATAAACATTGGAGACTTGAGCAATATGTTCTAAACGATTTGTAACCTTTTCTATCTCGTCAAGAAATTGTCTTTGACTTAAGGTTTGGTTCTCTTCTGGAGAGCACATTTTCTCCATATGGTTCCTTTGTTCGTCGACAGATTCGGTCAGAGTACCGATGATAGTTTGATTTACATTTCGATTTTTGCCCAGCATTCGCACATCGTGTTCCATATATTCAATTACACGTTTTTCCTGAAGAATGTACTGTAAAAAATCTTCAAACATGTTCTTTGACACCCTGCCCTTTGAATCCACCCTCAAGATCCACTCTCGTTTTTGTGTAGGTGGTAACAATCGCTCTACCATGCTAATCATAGCAACTGTATCCATTTCCTCTGCAAGGTCCATTTTCTTCAAGTCTAGCCAACAACGTTCTATTGTATCGACCATGGCAATGAATTTTTTACTGTCTCCCTCAGGGACAGTTCTGAGGGATTTTAGTTCTTGGATAATTGCATCAACAAATTTTCTAGGATCACCGAAGGTCCTGTCTAAGCGATAAAACATCTCGTCAAAATTGTCTTCGACCCCCTTAACTGTTTCTAGTGCAGGACCGGTCAAACAAGAGCGCAGAGCATATGCGTCTTTTCCATACTGTTTTGTCATTAAACGATTGAAGTCTTGCCGAAAACTGGAGTATTCGCGAATGTTTCCCGAGAACCGAGGAGTATCTAGAGGCTTAACGTGTACTTCTGATCGTTTAGGAACATTTTCGGGCATGTGACGGTCATATGTAGCCCTGATAGAATCCAGCGTTGAATCGACCTCTTTCATAAAGGCATCACATTCGTCTAGTAGGGAATTCATCACTACGTGAGAAGCGGTTCTATTTATAACAGTGAGCAACCGATCGCTGATTTTGTCAATTTCCTTATGTGCTTCTCTGATATCCTCGAATTTTTCCTTCAAAACTAAAAGGTGTTCGTCATTACGACTTAACTCCATAAATGCATTGCATTTACGGGTAAACTTACGCCTTGTATTCGTTCGAAGCCGCTTGATCGTTTCGAGTGTTTCTTCCCCGTCTTGATTCATTTTCTTGATTTCGTTTTCTATTTTTTCCATATGCTAAATTTCCGTAAATGAGATTCTATGTATATCAAATTGTCTTGAGTTACGTTAACGCTCGTAGATGAAATGTAACATAAACGAACATTGGCACCGTGATGTATAATTTGCGTTCAATTTTCAGTACAAATTTCATCCTGAAACATAATACAAAATTAAAAACACTGTACATATTCTCGCTTATAACAAACACTTTCGATCGAATACACGGCGTTTAGGTAGGCATACAATGGCAAACAAATCCGTTATCCGAATAAGGAAACTAGATACAAACATATATGAAACGTATAAATGGTACTTACTACGGTGCGCGTAGTCCTGGTCATAATCATGATAAATACAAATTACCAACTATCAAGATAAAAAGAAATCAAGGATAAACATAAATAAGATATGAGATCATGACATGTTCAAATTTCAAATTAACTATGCCTGGTTAAACGATTATTCAAATAAATCGCGTCCCGAATTTTAAGCATGATACAAAAAGACCACAGTACTTCCGCCGTACATATCGCCGTTGCCTTTCTGGCGATACAATACCATACAAATTCACGGAATCGAAAGCTATTGCAAAGCAGATGTTTCGGCAGAATCTGTCCAGTTAGCTGTTTGCCTTCTTATGGGCCAAACATAGACCTGAGATGAAATCTAACGCGAAGCTAGCGAAAGAGCGTTAAAAGAGCTATCGAATAGTTTTCTGCTTCACTGCAGCCCTTCTATTAGTGGTTTCCCAGTCGCTAACGTATAACGTATATTAAACTAACGCTGAGGCATGCTTTCGACCCCTGATCGATCTACAGGTTTGCGGAAAAAAGAGCATGCTGCCCGTGACGAGAGAAAGCCGATGATACCCATTTACAAGTTTTCGGGTCATCTCAGGACTCAGGTCACCGCCAATAAGTAGAGAAACTCGGGACCTGCTAGAACTTAAAGGGACACTCCCACCTTAACATTAGTTTTGAGTTGAGATAGCCAAATTGGTGGCCATGGCCTGCAAATACCGGTTTGGGCACTCACAACATCGACAAATGCTTTAATTCAGAGATATGGAATTTCAAACTTGCAGTTTTCGGATTCTAAGGGGCTAGTGCATTGGTATGCCCCCTTAGAATTTGTGACGTCAGCGGAGATCTAACGATTTTTAAATCTTTTACTAAAACGTTTTGTAGCACGCGGTGGTATATGCTGCTTTGCGCGCAACAAATGCCGCACTTTCAAATAAAGTCGCTAGGAACAGCGGAGATCCCAAAAAGTAAACAAAAGTAAAAGTCTAATATCTTGAAAACCGGTGAATATTTTTCGATGAAATTTGGTAGATATTCGTTTTTGCTCTTTATGAACTGAGCGACATCACTTTCATGCCAATTCATTAACTTTTTTGAAGGTGGGAGGGTCCCTTTAACGAATGTAAGTTGTGATGGTTTTTCGAGGTTCTGATTACGAATGTTATCTTAGCTTTGAACGAAGATGATGACTCCATGCATTTGGGGTAGATCAGGTCAGGTCAGATCGACCAGTACCTAATAGTGGATGACCACCACCGATTGCTTCCTAGCATGGCCATGTTATATGAATAAGCAACACAACTACTTCTTAAATGTTCAGATGGGCGCTAAGTTCAAAATCAGCTCCAAAAACTACACTATCAATTAAAAGCACGTTATGAAAAAGTGAACTAAGGTCATCTTTATTTGAATCAGGGATATCGATTTATTTTAAGTAGGTGATTAACTCGAGCGCACCGGAAGTTTTGTTGCAATCGGCTCCTTTTTGCGCGACTTCTTTGCGAAAGCCCGAGACGGTTCCATCTGACTCCCTTTCCCCTACATGTGCACTGTACAGCTAGTTGTGACGGTAGCCATGGGGCTGAGGCTAGTTTGTAGTTTTGTAGTTAGGTACTGATCCGACGAATCGACTGCGACCATTTTTTTTTTAACGATCAGACGAACGCTCGGGGCAGTTTTGGCGCGTCCAATCCTTTGAGGGATAAAAAGGTATACTAGGATGGGGGCTACTTAAAAACATTGTTGTGCTGGTGTTCCCCGCCCACAGCTAATTGACCTTTAGGTAATTGGCTAATTGGCTTTATGGAGCTCTTGAAGCGATTTTGAATCTGATGTATTTGTTGGTGTTGCTGACGCCTGCTTCACTGACATAAAAGCTAAAAAAGCATGCTCAGCATCGCAAAAAGTGGGGGGGGGTCGACACCCCCAGTTTTCAAGAGTGGGGGGGGTCACGACCCCCCCGACCCCCCCGTCGGCGACGCCCCTGGCTTCAGCCGTGCAGGGTCTCAGGATATCCGACCTGAGTGAAAACGAGCAGATCATGCTCCCGACAGTGTTCGCTATGGATAAGATCCCGGCGTCCCGAGAGGAGATCTGCTCAGCTGAAGACCTCCAAAGGTGCCCGCATTTTCAAGCAGTCGTCCCGGACATGATCGACGCAGACATTGGGATATTGGTGGGAGTGAATGTACCAGAAGCACTCGAACCGATCGACTTCATTCACAGCAGAGATAACGGTCCGTATGCCGTCAGGACGCGACTTGGTTGGGTGGTGAACGGTCCGGTACGTCATCACAAATGGACGGAAATCAGGGCTACAGCGAACCGAATCAAAGTTGAGGTTCAAGGACCCCAGTCAGAAGCGAACCCCGCATCGGAAGAACGGGGATGGTCCGTGGAGGACCACAGATGGATGAAGAAGGTTGAGAAGGAAGCTAGGATGGACAGTGGACACTACGAGCTACCTATACCTCTGAAGAGTGGGGACACAGTCTTGCCGGACAACCGGGAAGCATGCTTGAGGAGGCTACAGGGACTCAAAAAAGGGCTTCAAAACGAAGGCTTCGCTGACCAGTATCGTGAAGTGATTGAGGACATGGCAAGGAAGGACTATACAGAAAGGGTGCCTGAAGAAGAACTGGACAGAGCTGACGGACTGGTGAATTACCTACCTCATCACGGGGTGTTTGGAAAGAAAGAAAAACTTCGTGTGGTTTTCGACTGCTCAAGCTCGTTCAGAGGCGTCTCGCTGAATGACAAGGTTTATCAGGGTCCGTCGCTTTGCACACCGCTTATTGACGTACTCGTTCGTTTTCGTCAGGAAGAGGTGGCCTTCATGGGCGATATAAATGCCATGCTTCACCAGGTTCATGAGCCAGCCCCTGTGAAGAGTCATTCAACCCAAGCTCAGTGGGTATGGACTCACCCGGAGCACAGAGATCATGTCGAGAGGCAAGCTGATTAAACGCCCCATATCAAAGCTCATTCTCCTTGTTGAAGCATCTGAGTAAATGCAACTGAGAACAAGTATGTTAAGCTAGTTAAGTTAGTTATAAGTTAAGTTTAAGTGCTGCTACAACCGGTTCATCGCTGCAGCTATCGTTCTTGAACCTGGAAAGGTTCAAAGGGGAGGGTGTGACCGCGGCGGGTGGTGGTTATGGTAATTTAGTTTCGTCCCGATAGCTGCCCCCTCCGCTCGCTGCGGTTATATGCGCGCCCCTGGCGTCTGCTGGGAGACCGCCCGCATTGGCTGAGTGGCGCCGGCTCGTGGCCCCGGCAGAGGCGGTCTCGCCTGTCTGGTCCGTGAATGGGTGGTGCTGTGGACGAGAGGGTGCAGCTGGCCGCTTTCAAGTTCGCCCCTGAGCTCGCCCCTGACAGTCTGGCCCGGGGCGGAGCTGGGCCGGGGTTGGGTCAGAGCTGCCGGCGCGTCTCGGCGGTGCGGGCTCCCGCTGCAGCGCTGGAGTCTGGGTCTGCAGTGGGCGCACTTCGTTGTTGTTGGCCGTGCCGAATTGCAGCGCCTCCGAGGCGCCGGAGCAGGTTGCAGTGCCGGACTGCAGAGCAAGACTGGATCGCCGGGTTCGCCTCTGTTGTCTGGGAGGCCGTTCTGTGCGGGTGGCTGCCCCGTTACGTCGAAGGTGGTCAGGACCTCTCAAGCCAGGAAGTGGTACTCGTTGGTGAGTTTGAAGTTAATTTGTACTTTATAGTCACATAATGGGTAAACCTGTGGGTAATATCTTCGTTATATTAAGGTGCCTTTTATGCCATTAAACTCGTTGTTGAGCGTTCGGTGGCGACATCTAGATATGTTGTCTGTCTCAGTCGCTACATGGCAGTTGGATTGCTGCGTGTGGGACTGCGTCAAATCTGCCGCAGCTATGATCGGCGGCGATAGCGACTGATCGATTGTTTACAATTGTTACAATTGTTCATTGACGGCTGTATTGTTTTCGTTCTGTCCGAGTTGTTGTGACTCCAATGAACGACTTGTTTGTGATGCCAATGAGCACTCGTACAAAGTTTTCTGTTAGCCTCACGATTCGCCCCCTCCCCCGTTAGATATGTACTGTCGGTGAGTTGTATTGCCCACACATGTGTTTAGAAGTTATGTGCCCTGCTTATTGTGTTTTTGTTTTCTCAGGAAACCGCTAAATACAGACTGAGAGCGGAAAAACAGCTGTGTTGGCGAGTCAACCGAGCATGCAGGGCTTCAGAGGTCACAGCTTGTTTTCGGCCAATAAGCTCTTTTAATTTTACTTTTTCTTGCTGATATATGAGCTCGATCAACTTGCGTTTATCAACCAAAATTTCATAACTTCAAGTTCAACTTGATATTGATATTGCTCAGTGAGTCAGGACCTCTGTCAGCCTCCTGGATACTTCGGATTGTTTTCAGTCACATGCTTCTTAAATATGATATCAGTCAATCTTAAGGGATTCAAAACATCCAACAAAACGACGTACAAGAGTACGCAAACCACCAGATAAACTTAAAAAGCGCCTTAGAGCCAAGTGGTGCTCCCTTTGTTTGTTTACAATGATTGTAGTGCTGATGTATTTTTAGGACTCTGAAGGTCGGCTTATAAAAAAATGAAACAAAGTTGTAAGGCAAGTAATATTTATCTGAAAGAACTAAAATATTCAAAAGCCAAACACTATGAAATACATGAATTGGAACGAAAAAGTAACCCAAAAATCCAGCCTAATCACCGGCTCCTAAAACTGCAACAAAATCAGCACTTTTCCCCGCAACTCGTTGTCCAGACGTAAATATGCGCAAAATACCACCCCAAAGAGGTACATTTTCGGAATCAGCGCATCGAGGAGGCCCTGTATACCGATTCTTAGCCAAATCGAAAGACCCCGCCGTTTCCTGTTAAAATGTTAGTTGGTCGTTAACTCGTTAACGGTGCAAAATACGCCCCCAAAGAGGTACATTTTCGGAATCAGCGCATCAAGGAGGCCCTGTATACCGATTTTCAGCCAAATCGAAAGACCCCGCCGTTTCCCGTTAAAATGTTAATTGGTCGTTAACTCGTTAACGGTGCAAAATACCACCCAAAAGAGGTACCTTTTCGGAATCAGCGCATCGAGGAGACCCTAACACCGATTTCAAGCCAAATCGAAAGACCCCGAAAATTTGCTGCTGAAATCGATATATGCTGCTGAAATGTTAACGGATCGTTAACTCGTTAACGATGCAAAATACCACCCCAAAGAGGCACATTTTCGAAATCAGCGCATCGA